GTCTGGTATAACAATACCACCTGCTTTGATCTTCCTGTTTAGAATTGCTTTGTCTATTCTGGGTCTCTTATTTTTCCAGATGAATTTCATGATTGCTTTTTGAATTTATATGAGGAATGCCATTGGGATTTTGATTGGAATTGCATTGAACCTGTATAGTGCTTTCAGAAGAATGGTCATTTTGACAACAGTAAATCTGCCTATCCAAAAACAAGGTAGATCTTTCCATCTTCTAAGGTCTTCTTTGATCTCTCTCTTTAGGGTTCTGTAGTTCTTATTGTATAGATCTTTTACCTCTTTAGTTAACTTGATTCCCAAGTATTTTTTTATGTTTGGGGTTATTGTAAATGAGGTAGTTTTCCTCACTTCCTTCTCTGAGGATTTGTCACTGATATATAGAAATGCCTTTGATTTATGGATGTTGATTTTATAACCTGCTACTTTGCTGAATTCATTTATTCTAGAAAGTTTTCTGGTGGATCTTTTTGGGTTTTCTAGGTATAGAATCGTATCATCTGCAAATAGTGCTAAGTTTTTCTTTTTGTATGTGTATCCCTTTAAATTCTTTCATCTCTCTAATTGCTCTGGCCAGTGTTTCAAGAACTATGTTGAATAGAAGTTGTAAGAGAGGGCATCCCTGTGTTATCCCAGTCTTTAGAGGGAATGCCTTTAATTTTTCTCCATTTAGAATGATGTTGGCCTGAGGCTTAGCGTAGATAGTCTTTATGATGTTGAGATGTTCCTTTTATCCCTATTTTTTCTACTGTTTTGAACATGAAAGCATGCTGTATTTTGTCAAATGCTTTTTCTGTGTCTATTGATGTGATGAATTACATTTATTGATTTCTGTATGTTGAAACAACCTTGCATCCCTGGAATGAATCCCACTTGGTCATAGTGCACAATCTTTTTGTATTCGATTTGCCATAATTTTGTTGAGATATTTTGTACCTATGTTCATTAGAGATTTTGGTATAAAGTTTTCTTTCCTTGTGTGCTTGCCTGGTTTGGGGATCAGGGTGATATTGGCCTCAGAGAATGAGTTTGGAAGTACTCCCTCATTTTCTATTTCCTGAAATAAATTGAAGCATATTTTTTTCTTCCTTAAAGAACTTATAGAACTCGTTGTGTATCCATCTGGTCCTGGGCTTTTCTTGGTTGGTAAGCTTCTGATGGCATCTTCTATCTCCTCACTTGATATTGGTCTATTTAAGTTGTGTATGTCTTCATGATTCAATCTGGGTAATCATATGACTTAAAAAATTTGTCTATGCCTCAATGTCTTCTATTTTATTGGAGAATATGTTTTCAAAATAATTTCTAATTATCCTCTGTATTGCTGTAGTGTCTGTTGTGATATTGCCTTTTTCATCACATATGCTA